ATAGCTACAGGCTATTTTATAGCATTATATTAATAGCTATAATTAATATTAGCAGCTGTAACTAACGGTTAGGTCGGGGAATATACTTTATAATAGACTTGGCCTATCTTTTGGCTAGGGTAAAGGAAGAAGGCTAATATAGCTGCTAAGAGATAATAGGCCTATAGGCAGTATTAATACTGCTTAATTAAGGCAGTAATTATGCCACTAAGGCAGATAAACCTTAGATAATTTTAACCTTTAAGATATAGGCCTACTATAGGGGCCTTATTATTTAAGCCTTTATATATAAAGTTAATAGCTTAATAGCCTTATAAGGCTAATAATAAAGAAAAAAAAAAACTAGTAATATATAATTTATATTTATTTATACTTTTATAAATTTAACTTATTAATTATTAATAAAACTTCTTTATATTAATTAAGCCTAATATATTAAATCTACTATTAAGAGATATAATACCTTAATAACTACTTAGTATTATACCCTATATAATCTGCTAATAATAAACCTAATATAGCTTAATTTATTTACAGTTAAAAACTAACTATTATAATAGCCTTCTAACTTTATTAATAAGGCTAGACCTCTTACCCTAAAATACTTACTATAACTATTATATTATATAAATACCATTTTTAAAAGGCTTATTTATATATTATTTTTCTTTTTATAAAAAAAGAGGAAATTTTATATTTAAATCTCTTAATTTTATATATCTTATTAAGGTTTTACCTAAATATAAGTAATTATTTTATCCTTTTTAGTTAATAGCTATAAATTCACTCTCTATATACCTGCCTAAAGGAAGTTGCTACAGTATTAGAGATACCTAAATTTAGGTGTAATCTCTATGTAAAACCAAGAATCCTTGATACCAGGTTGTTGATTGGCTGGCCCCTCTGAGGATACCTCAGACGTGCCTTCTCGGGTTTGGAGGGATGCAGGAAACGAGGGGTGCGGGATTGCATCTTATCGTCAGTCAAGCTCGCGCGGGGACATCGTCTTATGCATGCCAGCTGGCGACATTGCGTTATGATTGGCTTTAATACAGAGTACTTGCCGTGCACTGACCCATGGGATGGGGTCTACCTGACTACGGAACCCTTACCTTAAAGAGTTAGTATGGCATAGACCTTATTCTAGAACCTGTCTTGAATTGATTTTATGTAATTGTATACATAAGGACTTGCACGGACTTTAGTGGAAATTAGGGTGAAACTCAATTCTTACGGAGCTACCCTTAGACAATCAAATTCTGCTAATCTTTCCCTCAATAGGCTAGCGTTCCGTAGCTCGAGGATTTTCTTGATCGGCAAGCCACCGCGTCAACGGAGCTGGCCAGTAGGCCGCTCAGGGAGATATTCCACTCCACAAACCCCTCAGTTTCATTGATTCTCACGTCAACAGCATCGCGTTAAACTGCCTTGAGTCTTACGTTATGGTATTCCACGGTCTCCCGTCCAGGGATTGTGCTCCGTGCAGGAAGAGGAAGACTCGTGTAAGGACCCTGAGTTCACTGAAACGCCATTGATCATGCTCAGCTTTCGATGGTACGGTACTAACGTGATCTGTA